TTTTGAAATTTTATCAACAATATTGTTGTTTTCAATAAACATTAATAATAGTTTCAACGCCTGTAAAGGAAAAATTAATTAATATTCTAAATATAAAATCAAAATGTTTCTTTATTAATTAATGAATATAGAAAAAACTAATTGGTGCACATAAATCCTATGGATATATTCATTAATTGATAAATTATGAATTTATTCATATTATAATTTTCGAATGAGATGATGGTTAAATATTAAATATTAAATATATTTTTATAAATAATATTAAATAATAAATAGAAATTCAATAACACAATTTTTAACCTTTTTAAAGGTATAAGAAATTTACCATGGTAAACAAATTTATAATGAAGAATAATGTTGAATATATTGATTGTAATAATATTAAAAGATATTTTGCATATACTGTTATTTTCAATATATTTGAGAAATTTTACATGTATATATGTGTTCATTAACGTGATGTTAAAGAGCTTAAAAGTAAAATATTAATTATATAGATAATCTTAAATGGATATTTAAGTTTATTATGAATAAAAATAAAAAAAAAAAAATTAACGAAGCTTCGTTTGTAGGAGATAAATATTATTCTGGGGAAGCTTAATAGTTAAAATAATATAATAAAATATTATTATAATAATTAAAACTCTTAAAATTACATATTAATTGTATATTTTATATATTTAGAAATGAAAACATTTATATTTAAAATTTTTTTAACGATTCAAAAAATTACTATAATAAATATAGCAAATTTAAAAAACTATGAATTTTGGCAAAACAAACAGAGTAAATAGAATATTTACCTTATTCTTTGTACAAAAGTCTCAAAAAGCCCATTGCCATAAATAAAACAATTTTCTTGACAGTATAAGAGATAATCATAGCGTTATTCATTGTCAATATGTTCATTTTCTAAAAAAAAAAAAAAAAAAAAAGATAACTACAATTCAAATGAATCATAGAGGATCGAGAGTAGGATTGATATGGACGATTTTATGAAATTTAGTTGAACTCGCATACGTGAGACATTTACATTTCAACGTCATTAAAATCTGTCACTTTCTCTTGGTTCATCTTCTTCTGACATCTGATGTCCATTACTCCATCCCGCCGTGCTCTGTGTCCATCGCTAAAAAACCGACGAAAAATGGAATCTTGCGACAAATGCGTAATCAGTAAGAGTGGGAGTTTTGGTGGGAGATGCACTTGGCGAACATTTTGGAGAAAATTAATATTTGATCATAATTTCAAAAAGTAAAGAATGAGTAGCTCGGGTTTTCAGCTCACGTCGTTCCTTTAAACGATTATCGAAATTATCAAATATCATTCCCATCAGTGTTCCAGAGTCACCTGACTACAAATTTCATTTCCCAGCATAATGCAGCCAACTGTAATTGCAATCCGATCGCCAGTAACCGAATAAGCGGATAATTTACAATTGGGAAAACGCTTATTACATCGGAATTATGTGTACTTTTCGCAGTCGAGAATAACCAATAACTCTTATCATACATCGGAAGTAGGAACACAGAGGCAAACGGAGGTCCTTTTTTTACTTATACAAACCGTAGGGAATCCTAATGTTTCTCTCTTTTTTATGATTACGTCATCCCGAGCACGTTATTAAGGATGGAAATCCTGCGAGTGGAGACTGCAGGACAATTCAGCATAGGAGAGTTGGTCCGTAGCTTCTAAGTGAGGTATGTGCAATGGATAAAAATTGGCGATTGCGGTTGTTTGTGCGTGGGATGTGATTGAATCAACATATTTTGAAATGCTTTTTGTAACAGTGAGCAGCGATGTGAATTTCGAATTTGGGAATGAGATTCCAAAAAAAGTTGGCTCTTTCCGCGGCGGTTTAATATATGTTTCAATTGTAACCAAATATTACTTTAGCAAATTATTATCGATTAGGTCAGAAGCTGTTTTGTTTTATTATTTAATGTCCTTCGTTAATCAATGTCTGGAACCCATAAACCAGAAATATTCTTGTCATTTTTTAACTAAAAATTTGAATAACGAAAATAATACGTATTTTTATTTTCAGGTCAAAATATATGAAGTTTCAAAATATTTCTCATACAATAGGTTTTCAAGTTTTAAATATATTAAAATTCGAAATAGGTAAACGAAAAGAGGAAATAAAAATACAAAAACGTTATTTATTACACGTATAATACATAATAATGTATGTTTATTATAAATTATATATGTAATTTATAATTATTATAATTTGAATATTTTTTCGGAATAAATTTTTTGATGTGTTCCTCTTTAAAAATTGTCTCTTAAATCTAATATAAAATCTTTGTAGTAGGAGGCAAATATAAAAATATTTAATTTGTGTGGCAGATATCCTTCCGGCTGCTTAGGATACAATTCTTTAAAAATTCCCATTAACCTTCCATTTTGTACAAGTGGTGCTCCAACGTTACCCTAAAAATTAATCAATATTAATTCTATTAATCAATTGTTGTTATTATAGATATCATTTATTTTTGTCATTAATTACTTTATATTGTTAATGATAATTTTCATTAATATACATTGCTTAATAATATTTGTTGTTTTAATTTCTATGTTCACTTCTAATTATTTAAAATTATTGATTATAAAAGCTATATCAATTTTCTTTACTTAATGTATTGTTAATTGTAATTTATATTTATTAAATTTATACAAATTTGACACTGAAAATTTTTAGTAGATACATTGAATTTAGAATTAAATTCAATTCTTATATTTAATAAAAAAAACCATTATATGAAAAGTTTTATAATTCTAACCTTACTCATCAGCGCAAGTGGTTCAGAAACTGCACAGAATACATTCTGAGTCATATCAATGGCGAAGCCCGTGCTTTCGGCTTTCCGTTCACACAGACGATTGGTTATACTTTTTATTGGGACAGTTTCCATCCAATTGGATATATGATCTTGGATTTCTCTGCCAAATGCAGCAACATCACCTTGCATATCTCGTAAAACTTGATGGGGTACACCGACTATCGTGACTGGTTTGATTTGAAAATAAACCAAGTGGAGTAACTATAAATTTTTTTTTCATATTATGAATATAATAAATTTTTAAATTCAATTTTTAATTCTAAATAAAACACATTTTTACTATAAAAATCACTCCCTTTGCTTTAAAAAGGAATATACCCTATAGATAAGAAGAGAATTCTGCAAAAACTCAAGTGCTACATTTCGTACATTTGCCCACTGTCTAACTGCCATCCACCAATGTACGTAATGTTTTGTACCTTCTCTGATATTGTTATTTCCAACGACTATTTCAGGTCTCTGATTGCCGAACGTATCCGCACACCTTTCAGCTGTTAAAACATCTCTATGTGAAACAAGAACTCCTGTGCACACATGATCCTTTTCGGGTTGAGGGTTAGTAGGATTAAAACGTTTAATTGATACAACGTAAGGAAATTCTCCTGGATCAGCAAATCGAACATTTACTCCATGTATTGGACTTCCTGATATGGAATCATAATTGTTACCTAAAGGATAAATAATATTTTATTACGAGTTTTATATCTCGACGATGTTTGAAAATTGTCATTTTCTTACACAAAATGAGAAATCCAGCAGCCAATAGATATACATCGATCTGCATATTCAAAATATAATATCGACAATTAATTTTATAATATTAATATTATAGTTAATTATATAATCCTTCAATGGCTTAACTATGCTCAATTTGTTTATGATTTAATGTTTATGGTACAGCGACTTATATATTAAAAGTACAATCTAACTATTTCATGACTTATTTCATGCATAGTTACATTAATACAATATATGTACTAATTCTTTGTTAATTTTTATTTTTTATAGCATAATGAATAAATATTGTGTATACAGATTTCATCAGGATAACGAAAACATTTCAAATTATCAGATATTTACATAATAATTTAATGTGATTAAAATTAAAATATAAAAATTCTCAGAACTATCGTTTACTTCAAATATTGATAAAATTGTGTGTATTAATGAACGATATTATTAATTATTTATGTCATAACAACATCCACAAGACAATTAAACATATATTAGTGAAAAATCGATATTGCCATAATTATTATACAGTTTTCCGAATTGAAATTAATCTTTAATAAACCTATATAGTACATCGATTCAATAAATTATTATTTATTATTTTTAACAATATGTATAATATTTATAATATATTGTCTGTAGAAATTAACATACATTAAAAGATTTACTTTTTCTGGAAGATCTAGTTCTAACTAAGTGAAACATATTCCTTTATGAATAGTTATTAACTGTTGGTTATATAAAACTTGGGAACCGTTGTTATTTAAATAAAATGAATTGATATGGAAATTCGAAATTGTAAATAAACATACATTTATCGCATACGAAACTGTTAACCCAATCGTTCGACTAATAATAAATTTTAACATAATAAATTTTCAATGTCATGATAAAGTTTTATTATTGCGTGCATTGTCGGCATTGCTCAACGAACGATAAATATTGCAATCGCATTGAATATAATATTAATATTAAATTTTTGTTATAACTTCCAGTCATAATTATTCGATTTAATCACTTTAATCTGAAAGTTTTAATAAGGATTTTTCATATTGAGTAACGATGTTTTAGTCTGATTAACTAGAATTCCGAAGAAAATAACAATGTTCATATTCTTTGAATTTTTCAGTTTTGGTCATTATAATTTAATATTTATTATTCAAATAGAGCGTCATAGGACATATTTATGTATTGTATTCGAAAATTCGTTTAATGCTATCACAATGAATATCGTAACATCATACACATTGATAAGAGAATTTATATATATTTTTATAAAAAAAAAAAAAATGTTAAATGGACAGTACATTTCTTCAACAGTTTCTCCATATACAAATTTTTTTTTCATTCTCAACTTACATGATATTGACATGCATTCAATATTGTAATCTATTTAGTTTTTATTAAGTTAAAATTTATTATGCAAATTACAAATGCCAATTTACTCGTAGACAATATGTAATACGTTAATTTTTAAGGTTTCTTTTTTTGCTACTGTACTGCTTGTGTACATTTTTCTTTAAAGATTAAATATTACATCTAATATATAATCATTATAATAGGGAAGGTACATGAAAAGGTTTATTTTATTTGGAGCATATTCGTCTCCACCAGCGGGAATTAAGTCTCTGTAAATTCCTAGTAACCTTCCATTTTGGATGAGTGGGGCTCCTCTGTTGCCCTAAAAACACAATGAAACCTTAGTTTTTTTTATAGTAGCGAATAAATGTTGAAATTTAAAACAAGGAATTGTAAAATAATAAATTAAAATAATGAACACTCAATTCCCTATATTATCGATACTTATAAATAATTGGAAATGTATTAATGATATTGTTGGTCATAAATCAAATATTACTAATGAAATTTAATAATCTTACAAAATTTAATATAAAACTAGTAAAAAATCTAAATAATACTAACTTTGCTCATTAATACAACTGGCTTATTAGCACCGCACACTACATTCTCCGTGACTATAAATTCTTCTCTCATTCTCCGTAATCTGGTTTCACATGTTCGTCTCGATAGAACTATCAATGAAGCGGTTTCCATGAAATTAGAAATGTGGTCTCGAATTTCTCTACCGAATGCTGCAACTACACCGGTTAAGTGACCCAACATTGTGTCTGGTATACGAGATAATTCCGCAGGAACTATCATCTCATTGACATTTTCAGTTAACTGTAACAAGTTTCTTTTCCTTAATAAATTTTTGTCATATTGAGGCTCTAAGAGATATTATATTAATGTGAAAAAAAAATTACCCTTAATATAATAAGGTCGTTGAAGCGAATAGTTCGACGAAGGTGTATATGTCGCATTTGACTCCATTGTGTATATGTCATTGACCAAAGTATGTGATATTTTATACCTTCTCTGATATTATTACTTCCGGCTATTATTTCAGGAGTATAATTATTTAAGTCTTCCATACAACTTTCAGTTGTTAAAACATCTTTACGTGAAACGAGAACTCCTGAGCAAACATGATCAGTTTCTGGTTGTGGGTTAGTATGATTAGAACGTTTAATAGATACAACGTAAGGAAATTCATCCGGATAAGCAAATCGAACATTTACTCCATGTATTGGACTTCCTGATATGGAATCATAGTTGTTACCTAGAGGATAAAAATTATTTTAAAACGAATTTTATATTTCAACAATGTTTGAGTAGGAATAATAAATTGTCATTTTCTTACACAAAATCAGAAATCCAGCAGCCAATATATATACATCGATCCGCATATTTAAAATATATTATTTGATAATTAATATAACATTTTATTTTCTAGTTAATTGTTTAGGTTAATATATCAAATTTAAATAATTATAATTCTAACATACTATATTTAATAATTTAAGGCAACTCATTATAAATTTAAAACCTTAGCCGCTTGTATTATATATACTTTTTTTATAGAAAACATAAAATGAAAACTGATATGCTATTTTATAAATGAAAAAATCAATGCAAATATTTGATAAATTATTTCTCAATTTTTGGAATTAGTGATAGATAAATAATACTTCTTCATAAATTTCTTCTATTATTGTTCTTTATAATCATTTTTTTTTTATAAATGAATATTTATTTCTGGAATTATAAAATTTTTTAAGTTATCAGATGTATACATAAAAGTCAAATGCCACTAAATATTTAAATTATATTATCTATTAATATTCAAATAATCCAATTTAATATTTAGAAAAATTCTAAAATATTCAAAATTTAGTGATGTTTCGTTCATTGAGAAAATGTTATTTTGTGAATAATTTTGTTCGTTTGCATTGATGAAAACGCATGATTATTTTATCTAAAAATTCTGATAAATATTTTTCTACTTAATTCAAAATATCAAATATTAAGTATTTTATATTCTCGTCATTATTATTTACTTTTATTATGTCACTGCTCAATTGAAAATAATTGCTTTATTTTGGAATATTAATACAATCGTTACGTTTTTTCTCTCAATACTACTTTAATTGTTATTTATAGTTTTCAGTATTATTAGAGATTTGTTATTTTTATTATATTTTCTGTATGCTAATCGAAAGTTTATTATCATTCATTATTATATTGATTTCTAATTAAGAATTTTTTCCCTTAGTTATAGCTGTTAATAATTGTTGCCATCACTTGCCGAAATAATTTGAATTTCTATTCAATATATATGGCCGCGATAATGTAATATGAAATTTTTTATCGTCATATTTTATTTATAATTTTTTTAATTATTATTTTTTCTCGTAATGCTTAAGAAATACAATTGTTTTTAAATTAATATTAAAGAATCATTAGATGTTTAGATTGAGATTTGATTGAATATCCTTTTATTTGTTTAAATTTTGTTAAATTAAAACTTTTGATGAACTCGGTTTTTTTTTAATGTTGACGCGATGATGACATAGTACTATCTAATTTAATGACTTAACACTCGATTTCTTAAAAATCTTCATATCTATAATTAATTTTATAATTTGTCTTAGTTATTTGTATGATAGAATTATGCCTCCACAATATTAATTTATATATTTTGCTTTTTTATTTTTGTTGAATTTTTTGTTTACTTTTATATTATTTGCATACACTTTTTTTAACTGTTATAACTACTTTGCAGTATAAGCGGAGAAGTTATCTCTTTTTCTAAATTCCAAACAAATATAACGAGCAAATATAAATTTGTCAAAGATAATTTTGCGTAAAGCTATTAACAATGATAAGCAGTGAATTATTATTTAATAAATATAATCTCATTTTTTTTTTGTATTAGTTAAAAATATTTGTAATACGAGTATTTTGGAAAATGGTACTTATTTTATAACTATTATCGAATACTGCTTATTTGCCTACTATTAAGAAAATATATATTTATCTATCTATGTATATATTCATGTATATAATGAAAAATAATATTTATTAAAAATAGTATATTTAATATAGCGGTCAGAATTAATGCTTTTTTGAGTTTTATGCTAGATTTAGAAATGAAAATTAGAAATCTTTTCATTGTTAAAATATAATTGAAATTTTATGATATTAAAGCATATATAAAGTTATACAAGCATATGTACTACCTATATGTACCAAATTCTTTATGTACCAAAAGCTCATAAGAATAAATATATTTTTTAACATATCTTAATAGCTATAGATTAGTTATATCAAACAGTAGTACATGGGTCAACAAAATTAGCTGCTAAATTTTTAATGCCTATTAAACCTTTTAATAACAGATTCTTCGATGGTCCTCAGAAAATTTAATAATCATATTTAATATAACGAGCGTAAAGAACTCGGCATGTACCTAAATAGTTTTTGACAAAAGTTATGAGTAATACAATCATTTATAAAGTTAAGAAAAACAATATTTTTAGCAAGCTGGATAGCACTGAGTTCATACCTTATATTATCGAATAAATTATAAAAAATCCATATTGCGTAATGTTTTTTAGTTTCCAAGAGTATGTAAATCTTATTTTTGTTAAAGATATTTAGTATGATTAATGTAAAATCCTTAAGTTTTCTTCACTTGTTAAAAAGGAAATATTTTTTATTAAAACTGTTTTCTTTGATCTTTGATTAAAAAATTTTCATCACATTGATAATTAATTATTTTCATGTCGTGAATAGTAAATTATTTTATACCTATTTTATATTGATTTTTAAAACGTAATCTAATTGTTTTGTTTCGTTTAAAAAAATTAACCAAGACTTTAGAGAAATAGTTTTGATCGATGAAAAGATAAATGATGTTAAATGATGATTAAATTTTATTATTTTTCTGTTGTATTTTAATAATGTAGTACAGCAAAAAAACACTCATGGATGGTATGCATACACGTTTAGCCTGTATATATATATATATATATATATATATATATATATATATGTGTGTGTGTGTGTGTGTGTGTGTGTGTGTGTGTGTGTGTGTGTATCAAAAATGTAAACTGAAATCATTTTTCTTCAACTTGAAAAATGCAATTGCCATATTCAAATAAATCGATGTAAAATTATAGAATTTACTACCTTATTGCAGTACGTTGCCTATAGAAGATACTTGTTTTTGTAATAAAATCGATCAAAAAATAAATAACAAAAGTGTCTGATAATGGTTAAATGATCTTGTAAACTATAAAATAAAACTGCGAAAGGTCTAAATAATATATATGAAGTCCGTAATATAAATGTTTTTATAATTTTAAAATCCTTCACCGCTTTTAAAAATGGTTTTACTTATTAAAAGGAAATAAAATATTTTTAAACAAAAGATTTTGTCAAATACTCAACACGTATTAAAATAGTCTAAAAATAATTAATCATCTCGGATGATTTACAACATTATTACGATCTTCATGACAAAATAATGCTCATTCACCGAAATATAATAAAATGATTCTATTAATAAAGTAAACAAATACATTGATTGAAACGAATATATTGATAGATGGAGACTATCAAAAATCAAATCGTACATAAAGAAATACAATAAAATATATTCTCAAAACGATTAAATCAACCTTATTCAATAAGAAAATAATAATTAATGGTATTGAAAATCGAGGATAAGTGTATTTAATACAGTGCATTATTGTTTGAAATATAATTATGTTATATTGAATTATAAATTATTACTTAAATTATCTACTATTAGATAAAATATATATTATTACTTGAAATAAATTTGTTACTCATATAATATAAAGAATGAAAAATATTGACGATAAAGTTTCATATAACAAAGGATATAAAACGATTTCATAAATACCCAATTTCTACAGTGTGCGATAAAAGTTAACATTTATTTTATTATTTAATAAAACAATAAAATATATAAATAGTTGATCAAAGATAAATTGTAAAAAAATTATAGAAATTATCATTTCATAAATAGAAACATTGAAAGTTTCATGTGTAAGATATGGATAAAAAAGGTAGGTAAAATTTGCAAGAATATCCCCTTAAAGGCTATAGGTATATATTTATAATTATTGAGCTATTAATAGTTATTGTTAGCTATAGGAGTTTATCTCATGTAATGCATGAAAATCAATAAATTTACATTCACCACTACCGTATAATATATATATATATATCATGTATATATGCATACTACTATAGTACATTTAGATTACTACACTTGTATGCAACTATTTTACATATAGATTACTACACTATGGTGTATGTAATGTTATTATATAAACAATAATTTTTATATAAAATAACTACAGTGTACGAACTATAGAAGAATATGATGAAAGAAAGGAAATTTTCATCACTATTTAATGTTATAATTTAGCACTATTGAAATGCTAATACTTCCGTTTTCATTAAAAAAGGTTAACAAATGTTTAAAACATTAACATAATTGATTAAAGGTATCATAAAGATAAATTTTACGTAGAATATAAAAACATAATTTCTTAAAGATAGAAATGTTTTTATGTATATTTCCTAGAAAAAAAAAAATTCTTAAAAGGCGAAATGATTGACGTTTTTCTAAAGTGGTATCTATTTGATAATTTATATAACAATTAATTACAAAAAGATAACTTAGTACTTAATAAATTTATTATACTTAGTATACTTAGTACTAAATAAACAACAAATAAAAGTAAATAAATAAGAATTTCAATTGTTATTTCAAATTGAAATGTAAACATAGGTTTAATAAATATATAAGTTTAATAAATAAAGTTTTTAAAAACTTTATATAGTCTATATAATGAAATAAAAAGTAAGGATAGATGCACAGAATATATAAATTATTGTAATTATTTGAAATATTTTGATTATAATATCTTCTCAATGCATTATTACATAATTGTTTGTAATATTACTACATATAATAAGTATTAATACTTAATCATTAATAGATAAAAGTATTAATTGTCCGATTAATTTTACGTTAAATCTCTTATCATCGCTCTTAGATATAATCTACATAATAAAAAACATATACTTTTTAGTGACAACAATCATTAATAACATTTCTAATTAATTTCAAATATATTTGGGAAATGCATTTTGATAATAACATTTGAAAATCGGCCTTTAATTTAACCACAAATTTTCGCCAATATTTGCTGTGAAAATATTTCAACATTTTCATCAGCTATTTCTTTCTTCTTTTGTTAGCTCGTTAATTATTTGGATTAATTAAAAGATACTGAATCGTAATAATACTTTATTCAACAGAGATCAGTCAGTCTATCTACGATTTAGTGAATGAATTTTTTTGAATTACAATTCAAATTTTTTATTTTAATCTATATATTTTTTTAGCGTATACTTAAAATATGTTGATTTTCTATATGGAAATACATACATTATGTATAAATGTCATAGACGTACAACTATTTATTAATTACTTTATTACTATATTTTCGATTACCTGGAACCGTCTGTTGTTTATTATTCCAATGGGTATTTTGTAGCTTGAGATTATTTTTATCCAGTCCATTTTACTTAAACTTTTATTGTTTCTGCTCACATTTCCAACTTTAGTATCCTGGTGAACCTTTTACTTAATATTTCCTATATTGAAGGTCCTCAAAAATCTGTCTGTGATAATGCTATAGTAATTCGAAGGTATGTATTCGGTTTTTTTACACTTTACATAGATCAATTTGTTGTTTTTCATATGCCATTTTCATGTATACGTGATATTATTATTATTATTATTATTATTATTATTATTATTATTTTATTTTTTTTTTTTGATAAATATAGGTTTTACAATAATTATGTAGATATAGGTATATGTACCATAATAATTATTAAACATTATATAATCGATGTTAATGTTTTTGTACTTTCGATCTTTTTAAGTAGTTTTTTTATTGTCACTATTTTTACACAAAATTTTCTTCAAATTTTCCTACAAAATACTACCAATTCATTTATTACATTGCTATTGAATTTATTAGACGTATATATTTTTTATTTGCCTTTAATTTACTTAATATATTATTATGTAGATGATGTAACATAGAAATATTAAGTTTCATTATTTTATATACTTCAATGTCATTAAATTAAATATACAAATCCATTTTTATCCTTAAATAATAATTTACAATTAGTGATTTTTAAGATAAATATTATTGATTTCTTTACATTAAGTGTAATTCTTTTAGTCTAATTTATTTATTACCTTAACATTATAATATAAGCTGCATTATAATATAATTATCAAATGACAAGATTGATTGATAGTATATAGAGTTAAATTCTTCATAAATCTTATGGATAAAATCAAAAGTAATAATACACTATTATGAAATCTTTAATACTAATTAACTGAATGAAATATAAAAAATCTTAAATATATGTTAGAATATTCATCTATAATTTTTGTATTGATAATGTTTCATACATTTATTTTATACATTTATTTTAAAATTAGATTATTAAATGAAGAAATAATCTATACGGAAAAATATTTCTCATCTTAAGTGAATGTATATAAGTAGTTGAAATAAATTATTTTATATACACGATTTTCCTTATAAATACGTAACAATGGTAAATAGGCAAATTATAAAATATAATGGAAGTTATTTTATTACTTGAATTATATTTAGGATATCAATAACTGTTACATAAGACTTATCTTATCAACCCGTAGGCTGACGTGATATGATGACCTTTTCGTATGCAAACTTTCTTTTTAATACCTGACAAGTCACTCTGATTAAATGATTTTAATTCATTTTCTTTAATTTTTTATTTACTTTTGTTTACAATTAGGTTATATTTATACATAATTGTATAATTATCTATTATTATAATCATACTTTACATTCAACCTGAAAGCACTAAAGCTATGAAGGCTTAAGATAGAAATTTATTATAATTTCAAGCTCTATTAAGCGCTCGAATTAGGAATAAAAATTTTGAATTTTTAAAATTAAGGGTATTATTTTTCATGCGTGGTATTTTGATTTTATATAAATTTACAGATACACTAATTTTCATACTCTATTTAAGAAATATATGTAAGCATCATCTGTAAATGAAATATCTATTATTGTTTTATTTTACTATTAATTTGAATATTTATGAGAAGTACTGTTGGTAAAGCCTTTCTTAAAATTAAAGATTTTTTTTTTTAATGTTTTGCTCGTTATCCTTTATTGATTATTAATCATTATTAATAAAAATATTTTTAAATTAAAAAAATTAAGATTTTTTTTGTTTTTCAGATATTATATAATAGAATACAAATACTTTCCAAATGTTATTTCTCTTTTATTTAAAAATCTCTATCTATATACCTCTAACATAAATACACAGATATTTGTTTAAGGAGAATAAAATTAATCTACATTTAAAATCATTTAATTACGTATGAATACATTTATTTGATTCATGATTCAATGTAAATAATTTCCTTATATTAAATGATTTTATTATAAATTTTTTTTTATTATAAATTTATGAATTTGAGACACACATATATATATATATATATATATATATATATACCAGAACAAAACACTTAATTTTTTTGTTTGACAGAGGCATATTTCAATATATTTTTTCAGTTTTTGACTAGAAAACTATCTTTTTGTCCTAATGACATTTTGAATGAAAAATTAATTGTATTTCATCAATTTCTGGTGAAAATTTTGTCACGAAAATAATATAGTTTTATTTATTATTGAAGCTGTAAGGGTGTTAGCGAATTTTCGATTAAAAAGAAATAATTTTTCATTAATTTGTACTTTTTTTTAAGTTTAGAGAGTAACTATAATTTCAATACGAAGATATTAAAACAAATGTTCCTTGTTGGTAAAAACAATTTTCCTTTATAATCAGCAATACTGGATCTAATGTACTCCCTATTAAATAATTTATAAAAATATTTAAATAATTAATATGTGTGTTATAAATACTTAATATTATTAATCTAAAGCTTTTCAAGATTCTTCTTAATTAATGTTATCCAAATTTGCACTTAATCTCTAGACTTTTTATTGTATTAATTTAAGATTAAATCTACAGGGATGTAAATTTAGACTCCTACAACTCTATTTTTAGACTTTGTATTATTTACTTTACTTAGGCCTTTATAGTTTTTTTTTTTTTTTTAATTTGTAAGCTGTGCCGATTTTGTATATCTTTCTTTTATTTCTAAGGAATATTTTGCTTACTTATTTACAAAATATAATTCTTTCTAACTATTTAACTTTCGTATAGTATTGAGCCTATCTCTCTTTTCTTGTCCTTACCCATTTCATTTATTACATATTAATAATCATCTTTAAGTGCAAATGTATTTTAATATATTTATTTATATACAAATTTTTTTTTCTTTAATAGGCTAAATAATATTATTACCTATCAGCGTGATAGTTAAATTTATTATAATAAAAATATTACAAATATTCATACTTACATTATTAAATTAATAATTAAACATAATAATATAAATAATAGATAAATAAATATATAGTTAACTCATGAAAAATGAAAAAGATGTCTGTAAATTAATACGAAAAAGATTCATATGTTTAACCCTTAGTATAAATAATATAAGTGTATAGTACAATCACATATTTTTTAACATAATTCTTTGTTAATACACACTTATTGTCGCAAGGATTAATAAAAAAATTGCACTTAAACGATTTGGAACAACGGTTTGAACTCAAACCAATCAATTTTATGCCGATTCTGTATCTATTTTTCTCTATTTTTATTTTTTTTTTCTATTAAAAAAAGGAACACTAACAAATGATATGAAAAAAATTTAATTAATATATAGAGTCAATGATGCATATTTATAGATTTACACTGATATTTACCATTAATTATATAACAACTGTTTTCTTTCAATATATTTTATCTTATAATTTAATTTGTAACAATCATATTTTATTTAAAATAATAAAATAACAAAACTAAAATCACAAGCTAACAAATATAGATTTATATTTTTAATAACTTTTATTATTAAACAATTGTATGTCTTATTAAAAATTACGTTTAATGTCTTCAATATAATCTTTATAGAAAGCAATCGACATAAAAATATTCACTTTATCTTCATGATTATTCCATGTTTGATCAGGATATGTGCCTCTATGAATACCTACTAACATGTCTTGAAACAAAACTGCAGCGCCGCTATTATCCTAAAATATATGCAATTTCGATTAAATACATGAAATTATTAATTTGAATATTAAGCTGAAAGTAAATTAGTAAAAATAATTTAATATAGAAAATGCTGAATTATATTTTAATGTTAGTAATAATAAAAATGATTTATGTTTTATTATAATTAACAAAATTACTTTCAAAGATATATGAATATATCCTAGAATTTAAAAATCAAATTATAGAGATGACTGGATACTTATTATAAAAAAATAGTTGTAATGGATCATGAAAACATTTAAATTGAATAATCCAATTATACAAAATTCTAATATTTTAATAAACAGTGTAAATTTATAATACATAATTATTAAGGCCCATAATATTAAAGACATAGTCGCTGTTTTATAAACAAAGACGATATCGGAATTAATAATAATAATAAATGTATAAGAGTGTTTTATACACAGTAGTAAATAAATTTAATTAAATGACACTTACATTGGTAAGTATGGTAAATGGAGTTGAGCGAGCACACAGATACTTTTCATTAATTTGATATCTTGTTGAATGAAATCTCTCGATTATATTCTGGCATTCGGTTCTCGTTATAATTTTTAATTCAGCAGTTTCCATCAATCGAGTTCTGACACCGAATTCCGAAGTACCAAATGCTGCAACAGTAGCAGTTTTTCCAAATAAATTTATATCCGGAAAGGGCCAGAGACTCACTGGGTTTATAGATGAGGGTACCATTGATGTTAACTAAAAGAATTGTTATTAAATTTCAAATGAAATTTCTTTTGTCGTAAAAGGATTAACTTATAAAATCTTATTTTACTAATTGAAACAACAATAACTTACCCTTATCATAGTAATGTCATTATTTATATATTGTGGTGTCACATGACGAACAGTGATCCATTCATTATAAGACATCCACCAAGATACGTGGAATATTCTCCCATGTCTTATGTTATTTCTTCCAATGATTATTTCGACATGTTGATTCGACGCAAGATAAAAGCAGTGGTCAACGGTTAAAACATCTCTAGGTGATACAAGAACTCCCGTGCAAAGATGATCAGTTTCCGGATGGATATTATTAATATTAGAACGCTTAATCGACGCGACATATGGGAATTCATCGATTTGAGCAAATCGAACGTTTAATCCAACAATTGGACTTGCCGATGTCGAATCATAATGGTGACCTAGACGGCACAAAGGTATATTACTACGAATTTCATATTATGATAATGTTTCAAGCGGAATAATAAATTGTCATTTTCTTACACAAAATGAGAAAACCCGCAATAACGAGGAGATACATTATCAGTATACTCTGAAAATATAAGTTTATACATGTAATTAACAATTATTCATTTTAATGGAGTAATATGGTAATTTTAATACAATACGGAACATTAAAAAACATTAAAAACAATAAATGAAATGTTAGCATGTGGTGTTAAATTAAAATTTTTTTATCCTTAATTTATCTTATGCCTTCTTATGGAATTTTATATTTCGATTGCATATAATTTATGGTATTGTTTCCCAGTCATGACACTTTATACTAAGAATAAATAAATATACAAATGGATATTTTGCAAATGATATAATAAAGAGACATTTTAATATTATTTACTTTATCAGTTTGTAGTAATTTTTAATAGTGAACTTTGATGCATTTAAGTGAAATATTAAAAAATACAGAATTTTTTAATTAACTATTTACCTATCGTTCATGATAAATTGAAAAGTAATCGCAAGTATAAATTTCTCTGCAAAATCATGTTAATTATTTGACATATAAGAAATAATTTTTTTTTTTTTTAATATTCTTCATTGTAAGATATTCCAATGAAAAGGAAAATACATTTAATTAGTTATAGAATAGTCAAAAATCAGCACGAACTAGATATATAATCTTTGGAATATAGATATTAAATTTTTTTTTAAATAATACATATTTTTACCTTTTGAACTAATTTATCAAGCTAACTGTACAGTTAATTTTTCAATACTTGATTCCACATTCTGTCTAATACTATTATTTTATATAGTCCAGCGATTTATATGATACATTATTTTATAAATAGTATTATTATACATATTGTCAATCTAATTCAAATATTTGTAAAATTCAATTCTGAATTTTTGAGTTATAGCAGAATAAATATAAATATTTTATATATAATTTATTAAAATAAAATATTATAGGCGAAGATTTATTCTTTTGAATCGAGTGAATTTCAGAAATTATCAGTTATTGACATAAAATTTAACTACGATTAAGCGTTAAAAGTTTTATTATATAATGAAATTTCAAAAGAAAAATATTTTTTTTTGTAAAATTTATGTCTTAAAATGACAAAAAGAAGAAATGTGACGTCATTTCTTCGCAGTTATTTAGAAAATGAGAAATTTCAAAAGCAAAAAAATTACGATTATTCTTATTGATAATGTATATTTTTTATTTATGTGTATAACGACAAATGTACAGGGAAATAGGCAAAAAAAAAAATTATATCACAAGTATTATGGTGCTCTTCACTGAATATATATATATATATATATATATATATATAATTTTTAATAATAATTAATTTGATATATGCATAAAATAATTGTAGTAATTAGGAAAATTATATTACTTACTTCCTAGAAGTTTGAAAATGATTTTATATTACAATCATGTAGTACAATCCAGTCACAGGCAATATTAACTTTTATAATTTAGTATTTGTTCAAGTGCTATTTAATACGGATTCTGAAAACTTATTTAAATATACCAAACTATGTTTTATAATAATCTTGTACATTTAAATTATCAAGTATAAAAGGCAAGCAAGTCAAAAAATATAAGCATAACAAGCGAAAGCCAAGATAATAGTTGATAATAGCTTCTATACAATTATTTGTCGTTATAAAATAATATAATCGAATCTCTTCCTATTATGCCGTTTTCATAATTTATAGTTAAGGCACTCTTAACATTATAAAAAAAATACTTAAACCATCATACAGCTCTACTTGGTTACCTTAAGGTTATTTTAAGGTAATTTTTAATTCTAATCATAATTCTGTGCTGCATATATTGAAATTGATAGCTCTTAATTAATATAATTATTAAATCGCATTTAAATAATGGAGGATTATAGCGTTATGCAAATAGCCGATGGCATGATAATATAATATAATCCAGGTGATCAAATATATCAAAAATAGGATAGTTAACATTTCACGTGATTACGATAATTTATTCAATTCTTACTCAGATTACCAGAGTCAGAAAGTCCAGTTGATTACACAGTCGAAACCGGGAGATGTAAGCTGATAAAACGGAGCTCCAATAATATTTTTCAGCACTTACAGCCAACTTTAATTACAATCGCAATTACATTAACAAATGCAAAATTACGCGACTTTAGCAGCCGAGAATAACCAATAACACTTAGAAAACATTAGAAGTAGGGCCACAGAGGCAAACAAAGGTCCTTTTTTTACTTATACAAAACTGTAGGGAATCCTAATGTTTCTCTCTTTTTTTATGATTACGTCGTCCCGAGCACGTTATTAAGGATGGAAATCCTGCGAGTGGAGACTGCAGGACAATTCAGCATAGGAGAGTTGGTCCGTAGCTTCTAAGTGAGGTATGTGCAATGGATAAAAATTGGCGATTGCGGTTGTTTGTGCGTGGGATGTGATTGAATCAACATATTTTGAAATGCTTTTTGTAACAGTGAGCAGCGATGTGAATTTCGAATTTGGGAATGAGATTCCAAAAAAAGTTGGCTCTTTCCGCGACGGTTTAATTTTATATTCTCCATAGAGAATATTATGGGCAAACCGATTTCCATTACTCAAACCTCATAACCGTCTGCATATGATAATTTTTTTTCTATTTTAGGTTTTCCGTTCTTTCCTGTTCTACTAATCTTTATCAGGAAATTTGAGTAGCGACTTGTTTACATCATAATATGAGAATATCATTAAAAATCGTTATCCAACTGTTCAAATAAGTAATATTTAATACATCATGTCAGATTGCTCTTAGTTTTTCGATAATATCGATTAAATATTGTTTCTGATATAATTTTTTCCATTTGCTAGATATCGATCCAGCAAAAAATTTCGCGATTTCTCCTCCAACTGCGAATCCTTTTCAGCAAACGCCTAACTATACAAAGCAGATGTAGTAATTTCAGATTATGAAGTAGACTATGACACGTTACTTTAATGTAATCTTTCTTTCATTTGTATCTCCAATATGCCGATCTTTGTCATCTATTTATGCTAATTTACTTTGATGATACTATAATATCTCTAACTATCTCTCCTTCAAATTGAATTTTTTTTTTTTACTTTCCGATTCCGTTTCCCACATCTTTATATTACTCTTTAATTCTAATTTATTCTATTTATTTTATGAAATTTATTATTTTATTATTACAAGAAAAAACGATTAACATAAATTAATAGAAGCATTAAAAATTTTGTAAGGTCAATTTATAAATATTGCAGTATATAAATTTCAATGGGTTGCAATGATGAACAGAAGTTTTTGAAAAACCTATTTTATTTTTAAACAATTTGGTTTCCATTAAAAATTAGAAATAACGTCTACAATATATTCTTGATAGTAGGATATAGATAGAAAAAGATTTATTTTTTCTGGATGATACATAATTTCGTGAACAGGACACGTTCCTTTATGAATACCTACTAACTGCCCATTGTATAAGACTGCAGAGCCGCTGTTACCCTAAAAAATAGGATGATTTAATAAATTTAATTGATGGTCTATAAACGAAGGGATATTTAACGGATATACAGCATTCAATTTTAATAATTAGTTGATAGTCGATATAATGTTGAAAAATTAAATAGTATTCGTAACTTAAACTTATTAAATTATAAAATTTATAAGAAATCAACGTACAGCATAAGAAAAAAACAAAGGAATAATCATTCGTGAATATTAATTATGAAAATGATTATTATATCTTCTTTTAGCTTAGTATTTCTAACTTTTAGTTGTATTTTTATTTTCTATTTTCAGAAAATTGACATAATTTTCATTTAAATTTGTTACGATACATAAAAACGTTAAAACAATTTGTATTAAAAATCTGTAACGATTTTGTCTGTAACGATTGCCCATTAAGTGATATTTGATTTAATAGTTTGAAATTGTAGGTAGAATTTTTCTTTTCCATAATATGTATCATTGTAGTATTTTCAAAATACTTACATTACTCATTAATGCAACTGGATCTCCAACACCACACAAATATTTTTTATTAAGTTCACATTTATTTTGTCCAATCTTTTCTATTCTTTCTTCGCATTCACGTTGGGATATAATTGACACTGTGACAGTTTCCATGTAACTGGTCATGCGATCTTCTGCAGTCATACCGAATCCTGCTATTTCAACTGTTGATCTATATAAATCTTTACTCGTCATTGATGATAGAGTAGCTGGAGTTATAGTTGTAGGTACAGTCTGCTTTAACTAAAAGAATTTTTATATCCATTTTAAAATTACGTTTGAGCTATAGTTTAACTTTACATTATACATTATACATTTGAGAACATATTTTTATTTTAATTATTAATAATAATTTTATATTACTTTTATAGAACCTATTAAAAGCTTACCTTTATAATTGTAATGTCATTTTTTAGAAATTCTGGCTTTATATTACGCAGCGTAGCCCACGCAGTATATGACATCCACCAAGCGACGTAATATTTTTTACACAACCTTATATTTTGTCTGCCAATAAGTACTTCGGTCGTATAATTTTCTAAATAGTCGAAACAATTTTCAATGGTTAAAACATGTTTATGTGAAACGAGAACGCCTGTGCAAATATGATCAGTTTCTGGTTCAGGATTCGTATTATTAAATCGTTTAATTGATACAACATAAGGAAATTCTTCAGAATAAGCTAATCTAACATATTCTCCGTACATTGGGCCTGATGCTGCAAGATGATATTTGATACCTAAGAGTACAAAATTTTAATTATATTATGTCAACTGTGATATATTATTTATAAAACATTATTAATTGCATGCTTTGCATAAAACACTACATATGATATTTGATATCTTACAGAATATGAGAAAGCCAGTGATGAAGAAATTCATGTTAACTAAACTCTGAAAATATGAATATATATATATATATATATATATATAAGCTATCAATCATTTTAATAAATTAATTTTATTAATAAAATATAAGATATAAAATGTAAAAGATAAAATATTAAAATATAGAAAAATATCTAAAATTTTCGTTAATTAATTTATAATATATTTTTATTTAATTGTTGTTGTTCATTTATTATTTAATTTATTAATGTATTTTTTTTTATATATAATAATATTTTTTTTTATTTATATTTATATAATATTTAAATTTATATAATATATAATAATAAATTTTAATTTATATAATAATAAAAATAATAATACCTTATCAATATTTTTTATAAATATTATATTATATTAATATTTGATAAAGTGAATTCCAATAATTAGCATAATAACCTTGTATCTGTTGTATATAAAATTTCATACTTTGTCAATGTTTTTTGTATATAATATTTTAATTATATCTTATTATACTACCAGTCATATTCGGAATACAATTATGACTAGTGATTTTTATAAACTTTAGAATTATTTTGTGAACTATTAAAATAGATTTCCATATATTTTATTTAATTAGAATATTTCCATCTATAATGACATATAGAATAACCAATGAAGTGTGTTAATTTAAAAATAAGCATTTTTTACTTTTAAAAACATTTAATATTAAAATATATATACATTAAAATTTGTAAATATCTTGTAATTATTTGCGAGTCAAATTAATCCATTGAATAAGATATTATCGTACATGTAATTGATAATACAAGATTATGAATAAAATACCAATTAATAAACTTTGTTAGATAAATTTTGTTAACCAATTTGTTAACCAATAACTAATTATTTTACTTTATTCTGTTATGTAAACCAATAACTAATTATATTACTTTATTCTACTAAGATTTTGTTTTTACATCATTTAGTAGAATATTAGATGCCATTTACATTAATCTTGCATCATATTTTCTAATCAAGACTCAGGCAATTTTATTCCACATTACATGATATTTAATAATATTAATTGTTCTTTTATACTCACTAATTACTTCAACTCGGAACGAATATATTTCTTTATAGTTATTGGTGGGTGAGATTAGTTTTTTATTTCAACTAATTATTTTGATTTTTAATTTTAATAACACAACATAGATATCTTCAATGTTTTTATATATTAAATATAAAATGTTTGTATAAGAGAGTATTTTTTATTATTGTTTAATTTTACATGGAGCTCTTTTATTTATAATATTTAAATCAATACGAACTTTGTTCAATATCAAATTTTTCTTTAAATATAAGGCGGACATTATATATAAATCTCTTTTTAGTAAATTTTTAAATAGTAAATTTTGATATAAAGTGCTGTTATTAAAATATTTAAATCTGATTATTATTAATGTTACTCAATATTTAACTTAAAAAAATTGTTCAACTTAACTTTATCAAAATAAAATATGTTTAATGAAAAGTATTTATTAAAAGATACTGTAATATTAATTAAATTCGGTAAAAAGTTTTAATACAATTCGATATATTATATATTTTCAAAATTCATTGAAATACTATATTGAAATAAATAGAAAAGGTATATTGCGGAAATATTATTTTGAAAGCTGTTTGGTAAGTACAGATTATGAAAATAACATCAACTTTTTATTAAATTTATACGTGCAATTAAAAAGAAAAGAAATAATTAAAATATTATACATTGTATAGTGGCAGTGAATTAGATATTCGTTTCAAATTAAGTTTAATTCGGTTAGGAAATTTGGTTTATAATTATAATTTATATTTTTCATTAATATTTTAAATTCGAATAAAAAATAATTGTATAAAGATTATTTTATCATATTTTTAAAAGTATTTGGCAATTTGTTTTAATGATTTAATTTTTTGACGTACTTTTTATCAAGATCGATTTAATTAATGTTTTAATATATTATATACATATATATATATATATATATATATATATACATCATTTAATGCATTATATATTTTATATATTTTATATATTGTGTGTGTATATATATCGTATAAAAAGTTTAAATACACACACGCACGCACGCATATATATATATATATATATATATATATATTTGGATATATGTATATTTATTTAACTAAAGAAATGTTAAATTTATACAAATATAACAGAATGTATTTTTTAAAGAAAAATGTTATTACATTTGTAATAACAACAACAACATATACAACAAGATATACACAATTAAAAAATGAAGACTTTGATGCTTTTAATAATACTTACAATTTTATAAAATTTCAGACTTTATTAAGATCTGCGGTACTTCGCCTTTGATCGCAATTAATTGATTACTTTTGAATATAAAGCTTTTAAGGATTATCAAAAAAAAAATAAAAAAGATATTTGTGGACTATAATTATTTATAGCATTTGTTCACACCCAAATCATTCTTTATTTTGTTCAAATACAGTTATTACTTAATATATATTTAGATAATGAAGAATACATATCAACATTATGTTTGTTTCATTTTGTATTATAATATTATAGATAAATACTTACAATAAAAGATAAGCTTCGATATATATTTATTTTATAATATCTATTATTAATACAATATTATTATGTACTATAATTACATTGAGAATTATATCGTTAAAAGGTTATTTTTATGTCTTGAACTTTATTTATAAAATTTGTGTATATAAATTCCTATTGATAAGATTAATTGTAAATAGAGTGTTGCGCATTGAAAAAAAAAAATATATATATATATATATATATATATATATATATTTATTTATTTATTATTTAATTATATATATAATATTGTAACAATCATATTTTCTCTAATACAAGAATTTCTATTATACAAAGATGTATAGATATATAGATAGTTTATATATATTTAAGCTATGTATAAATAACTTATATAAATATAAATATATAAAAACTATCTATGTATATATAGATGTATAGATATATAAGTTTTATTCTAATAATGTGTCTTTAAACAATTTATTTATTCTATTAAATTTGATTTTGCAATTTCAGAAAATCATAATAATAATCAAATAATGATGTAACTGAAAGCTAGTGAAGTAATTGATTTACTATTTCATATTAATATTTTATCTGCATTATACTTTATTTAACATTCATTGCTACGTCTTATTAAGATAAACTGGAATATGTTAAATGTAACATAGAAATAATGTTTATTAATAAAATGAAATCGTTAAATATTTCTGTTACGAATTTGTTAATAGGGCAGAAGAAGTCCTGCAACTAACAGATATTATTTAATTCCATAAATATTAATTATAATATCATTGCAATTGATAATGAACTCTAAATTTCTCTTTGTGAATGGTCTATATTTCCTGAATAATTCAATTAATAGATATTTACGGGATAATCATTACTACTATCCTGTCCAGACTGTGTGGTTTCAGTTCTTTACGTAGAATATATTTTATATCTCGATATTCCTTCGATTTTCGCTTTATGTAATATGTTTAATTTGATATCACATGTGTCGAAAAAGTGCGTATAAAAGTGCGTTATACTAATGTATTTCTAATATAAAAATTGGAATTGGCAATTTAACATTTAACATTGCTATCGTGATAGTCTCATCATAGGTTTACCAATTTTTATGATCTTACGTAGTATAATACATAGATATAATCTTACATTCTGTCATTCAATAATTATATTCATCATATTAATATTAATCACAAATAATTAATAATATTTTAGTAAAGTTGTCCCCCATGATATTTTTCTTGGTATTTTAAAATATTTGATAAATAATATTAGAGTTCGTATCATGTAAATGTGTGTCGTTCTATAATAGTTGGAAAACGAGTTATTTTTATTTTATTTCAATTAATTGTTTATTGTAGATTCTGATCGTGATATTCTATTACTTGTAAGAAAGCCAATGTAAGAAAATAAATTTTTAATTAATTAAAGGATAATAATTAATAAGAATTATTAAGAATTAATTACCGAGCTGGCTCTTGTGGTTTGTGAATAAAGTATATTTTTCTGACTTACGGTTCTTAATTTTCAGCTTATGCACATTTACAATCCAATAAATATAATATTTATATTTTCATCTATTTTTTATTTAATTGTAGATTAACTTTGCGCTTAAGTATTAGATATTTTATTATAAATCAGCAAACCATATATATATATATATATATATATATATATATATATATATATTGTATTTGACTTATTCGAAATTTATTCTTAAAAATAATATAGTTTAACGTACGATAAATTTGTACTCGAGATTTATTACAATAAATAAGTTGTTCTTTATTAAGGTGATGAAACACCGTATGTTTGCCAAAATTTTTAGCCAGGCGGTGTTGTAGATCATGCGCGAATCGTTAATAGAGTTTGAAAATTCTTAATGTCGGAATAATTGCATTAGTTGAACATAATGGCAAATTGTTAATAATAATGATGAGTTAACGATGCTGCGTACGGCATGGACCGACGATCGAATACATTGAGAATTTGCAGGCTACAATACAGCATTGATTGGTGCGGTATTATGCTCCGATTCTTGGCGCAGGTGTGGTTTGATGGATCACTAGACGAAGTTGGATCGACGGACACTTGCAATATTTATGGAGCAAAACATTAAAAATACCTCTGAATTATGAATACATTAAAACATTTGTGATTGAAATTGATTGTGAATGAATGCTAAATCTTGGACGTGTGAGATCACTACCAATTGCGGTAGAATAATAAAATAAACTATAAAGCACCCTCTTAGTCATAAACATTAAAGGTAAAGGGCAAAGGCATGTTACAATCATATAGATCAAAATAACTTAATTTCAGCTTAAATTATCTAAAATATATTTGAATACGTTACATTAACGATGTGTATTATACAAAGATTATAATCTCACATTAATAATAATACAATAAATTTGTTTAATTAGACGTAATAAAAAGATATTACAAATGTGATTAAAAAATATTTATAACGTCTTCTATGAAATTTCTATAATAATCAATTGACAAATTCATATTTATTTTTTCAATATGATTAGAATTTTCTTCGTGTGGACAAATTCCTTCATGAATCGCTATTAAAGTATTTTCATATAACAATGGACTGCCGCTGTTCCCCTAAAATAAAAAAATATTACTTACAATAATACTTAAAAATTCTTTTAAAAATACGTAGTATTAAATTATAAATGAAAATTTTATTATCCAAAATATTTTATACATATCAATTATTAAAAATTGCGTTAAAAGATTTTAATGAAAATCCTTCTCTTTGTATCAAATACATTTAGTGATCGTTATGTCATTTACTTTTTGGATAATACAATTAATATTTTGTCACGTTAAATTATCTAAATAAAAATTGAATATGTAATACGTATCTTTAATAGTATAATAAGAAAATAAAATAATATATAATAAATAATGGGGATTTTCGATATAATTATTAATGATTTGTACTGTACTAATATGATAATATGATCTAATATGATATTTGATCATTAAATAAAATTTATTGATTTATTCCGGGCAAATAATTCTGTTCAAAATTGAACGCATCAACAATAAAATAAAAATTTGGTGTAAATATTTCGTTTCTTCCAAACTTGTGACCGCATATCGTAATTGACATTAAACTGGGGCAATTTACATATTGAAATCGTATTAGAATCTTTTGCTAATCACTTTTTCTACCACTACAATAATTCATATCTCTCTCTCTCTCTCTCTCTCTCTTTCTCTGTCGCTGGTTAAATCTTCCTATCATTCTATTCTATTTCCCTTATTCCCTTCAAGATCTGTGACTTGAACTTTATGCTATTCAGATTAATCTATTCGGACAATAAAATTTAAATAAAAAGTTCTTTATGGTTCAAATTTTTATACATTATTTTCTAATGAGAATCGATTTAAAATCAAAGCAAAGTAATTTTTATAATTTATATATACACCACGGCTGTTCATAAGAATGTTTAATTGCCTACGCACAGACTAAATGTGGTATATCATTTATTGACATTTAAAACGTACGACGAAAGTCTCTATTATTGAGCAAGTTACACACTTTATTCAAATTTTATCAATCCACTAAATAAAAATATGTCCAGCCAATTAAATTTCTGTTTTTAAACGTATTTTTCCTAAAATTTGGAGAGCATATGTTGAATAGTATGAATTCGGAAATTTTCAGCTCCTCGAGTCACCCGATATCATATCAATTATTTTTAGATTTTTCGTTTAGATTTAATATATCTGCTTGAGTTGTTGTATGAGGACTTTGTAATAGAAAAATTAAATCGACTTATTAAGAGCATTTTACCATGTTAAATAACAATTAAGTATAAAAGGCGATGTTTTTACTTAGAATGGGCAGAGGTTATATTAAATAATTAATCGTAGAGTTATTAATTACAATCTGAGATTGTTGAGATGTTTTCAATTTTTTTTCTAATTATATATCATCAATACATTCAATCATACTTTGATTGATTTTAAAATATTGTAATACTACTAAGCTATGCAAATAATTCGGATTCTATGTACTTATAATAGAAATATACTTTTAATTATTTTTATCATAGTAAAAGTATATAATATATCGATATTTTTTTAATATCCATTGTTAAATGTATATATATTATTTTTTCAATATTTATAATTTTAAGGTACAATTTGTAAATTATAAACATCTTTATATAATATATACGCTTAGTGTAGTTGCCAAATTTATTAATTTCTTATTTGAAGAAACGTAAGCAAATTCAATATTTTTAGATTATCTTCTGATTAATATTTGCGAAAAGGTATTTTACTATAATAAAATTATTTTAATACTATTTATGATTTATGAAATCTATATATCTTATTGAAGCACATTAAATATACTTACTCTGCACATAATTACAGGTGGATTTCCAATAGCGCATATATGTTTTGTATCCAAACCATTTATATTTACATTGAGTTTCTTTAGTTTTTGAACACACTGCGCATTTGGTATGGTTTCTAAGTTTGCAGTTTCCATAATCATTGAAATTTTTCCATTATTTTGTTCACCCCAACCTGCTACTACGACATTTAATTTTTTGGAGTGAATATTGGTTAATTTTGAAAGTGGGGCTATTTGGATTTCATCAGGAACAGGGTTATCTAGCTAAAATAGATTAAAAAAATAAAATTACTTATTAATTCGCATATATATATATATATATATATATATAACCTTCTGTTTTTTATTACTGTATTCCTGATCAAAAGTTATAAATGTTGAATATATATATATATATATATATATATATATATAAGTATTTATAAAAGTTAAAGTGCTTTATAAATTGAAAAATATTGTATTTAGAAGAATACTTATAATAATTATTTATTTTTTGCTTGTAGTAAAACTTACTTTGGCTATAGCAATATCATGCATATTCAATGAACGTAATTTTTTATATGTCGACCAGATAAAATGAGTTATTAATTTTTTTGGATAAAATTTTGTACCAGATCTTAAATCAACGGATCCTACAATTGCTTCACTAAATTCGATTGTGCAAAATTTAAAACAATGTGCCACGGTTAAAATATCTTTTCTTGAAACTAGCGTCCCTGTACACAAATAATCATTTTCTGTATTAGGCTTTCTTTCATTAATTTTCATAAATGATACTATGTAAGTGAATTCTCCAGGTGCAGCATGTTTAATATTTTGACCCATCATAGCTTTTCCAGTAATAAATTCATATTGATTGCCTGAAAAGTAAAATTTTTATATAAAATTATTTTTATAATAATTTATTTGAAATTATGATGTAAATTAATGAAAATAACAAATATTTAATAACTTACAAAATATTAGATATTGAATCACATATAGATAAATCTTTAAATGCATTCTGAAAATATTTTAAATATATACTATTATATAACTGTAATAATATTAATAAATGAATAATATTAATTTTATTGTATCAATTTTATTAATTCCACTTGTCAATAAATAAAATGTAATTTATTTTAGAATTAAATTATATGGAGTGACTTAAAAATAATTATGAATATCTTTTTCAGGTGTATAAAAACATTTTTATAATTTTGTATTGTTTATTAAGTATTAAAGCACTTTCTCTTATAAACACTTTTTCACAGCTTCGAAGCTTTTGATATCTAAATTTTGTTCAAGAGGTGGTGATTGAAAGAACTGAGAATCGTGCTATAACAAAACACTAAGTAAAAATTTTTCAAATTAAATAGTAAATGTAATTCTTTATGTTATTAATTGCAAATAATAAAGATTAAAATTAAGTTAAAAACAAAATTTTTACGACATAATTGATCGTTATTTTCGTATTTAAAATAGGCATTTAATATATACTTGATTCATTTATAAAATGTTTGTCTTATCTTGTGAAGTTGTAACTGACATAATATTAAAACAACTTGCTTTAACACAAAGAATAACAATAAACCAAATTAAACTTATAAAAGTCAACAGCCAATCTTATTTCTTTAAGTATGTAAAAATATTGCTTACATAATTTTGGTTTCAATAAACTTTTCAATAAGTTTAATATTATTTTTTTTTTATATTTAAATATTATTGAAACACTGTATAAATATATTATATTATATGCATATTGTGTATCATATAGATATATTATTTTTTGTTAATATATTTTATACAATATGTTTGAATTATTAAATAAATAATATTTATAAAGAATAATATATCTATTGTGTATCATCTACATATATTATTATTTATAAATATCTATTTTATACAATAATAGGGATCATTAAATAAATAATATTTAGTAGTAAAAGTAATACGAAAACAAATGAAATAGAAATCTTATAATAATTATTTATCAATACTCCTATAAATGATTTCTTTTATGAGATAATAATAGACAAATAAGTTTATCACAAAATTGAAATTAAAATATATATATTTCGAATGAATGTCATAATACATTAAGGAATAGATAAAAATGTCGAAAGTCAGAATAAAATATAGAAGAAATAAAATCTATTATTATCTAAACTATAAAAATTTATTAAATCGAAAAGGCAAATGCAAAAATAATATAATTAAAATGAAATTAATATTAGATATCATTAAGTTATTTTAAAGCTGATATATAAGTATTTGTCATTATCACTAAACAGTGAAAATTAATAACAAAATATACAATAAGGAAGAATTAAAAAATCTTCAGAAAAACATAAAAGTAATATTAACATTTTACAGATTAGTACAGACAACTGAGATCGGGATAAATAATTTTAATTAGACATAAAATATCGTACAAGTGTGCATCCATACTTAATTTTATATCCAGTTCCACAGAAAATCCTACAGGCAATAGGAAATATTGCAATATGCAATTAAAAGATTTCTATAAAAAGTTGCATTAAGAACATTTACTGATAAAACTGAGAATAAAATGATCACGATTAATAAATACATTAAATAAATCAAAATGGGAAATTAGTAAAAATTAATTAGTAGAGAACATAATATATAGATAAACTAGTAAATATAAACACACGAAAGTAAATATAGGAGTGAGAATGAAAAGAATTTAAAAAATGTATTATTAGAAAAAGTAGAAAAAATAATACATGTGAATAGAAGCGTTAATAATTGATGAAATATTTAATTCAACACTAACGTTTTTTAAATAAATTTATAATAAATTTGTATAAAGTTAAAATTTAATTATTGCAGAAAGTTTACTCGATAAAGTTAAAAGATAAATTAAAACAATAATTCACAGAGAATTTTAGAAATTTCAATAATAAATATATTCTAAATTATTATACAATAAAATAAAATTGAAACTGTAATTATAAGAATAATAATAAAAATAATAATTGTAATAAAAGCTAATGCAAATAATTTTAAAATATATTGATTAAATGTTAAATATTAAAATTAATGATTTTCTAGTGATTACTATACAAATATTCACATCAATAGAAAGAATAATAATAGATAAGAAATTTGAGAAAGTCAGAACTAATTAAGAATAACATTGGAGATGTAATAAAGTAAAAAAAATAATGCAGTAATCTGTAAAATTATCTTCTACATTTAATAAGAATAATGATAAAAGTCTTTATATATATATATATATATATATATATATTATTATTATATGAATTATTTTGATAAAACAATTATAATATATTTGAATCTGTAAATATTGAATTTGGCATACCAAATAATAATTACAAATAATATATAATTTTAATTATATATAATAAATTATAATTTATAATTTTTGTAATATTATGTAATAATATGAAATCTCTGCATGATACTTACGACTTAATTAAAATTAAAAATTTGAGAAGTAATAAAGTAAAAAAATAATGTAGTAATCTGTAGAATTATCTTTAACATTGAATAAAAATAATGATAAAAGTCTTTTTAAATAAGAAATCTGTGCATAATACTTATGGTTTAATTAAAATTAAAAATCTTATAATCGAAATAAAAATAAAAGATTCAGATTATTTGTTAGAAAATTAATTTTCTTGTAAAAAATTTGTTTCCCGAACAAACTATTAACATTTTTTAGCAGATATATATTTGTAACAAGAAATTTTGTAGAATAACGATAATTTATTTCTTATTATTTGAATTTAGTTTTACTTACTTTATTTAAAATTTTTCTAATAGTTTTACTAAGTTAAATTAAATGTATTATTTTCCAATATTAAACATTTTTCTATTTATTTATAAATTTTTATAAAATTATTCTAATCTTTTTAAGTACAACTATATGAATAATGTAAGTATAAAGCACTTTTACTTTATATATTGTTTATAACTAGGAACTGGTTGTTTGAAATAAAAAAGATGTTTAACATTTGTTCGTGTTATTCTATATTCAGAAAGAATTTATCTGGTTGTATCCTATTCGTACATAGCCAGTTTATCTCTTATAATCTCCATTTATTATCTAAATAATGGATATCATTTCAATTTACTTGGTAATTAAATATTTATGTATCAATTATCATTTATCTATTATGTATTTATTATTATATAGTGTTAATAAATACAAATGTTAGTAGATTGTTTCATAAATGATTAATTATAATAATGAATTTGAATAATAAAGAAGATTTTTAAATTTATATACACAAAAAGATTGTATAAGTACTTTAAAGTGCCAAACAATCAATTAGGAAAATTATTATTAGTAGATTTTAGTTAACTTAAATAACCTTAGAAACATTTCAAGTAATTTGTAATCACGAGAATTTACTAAAAATAAAAAAAAACTGTTTTTAAATTTATATTTCTAAATGTCAATTAGAAATTGTACATAAAATTAGAAGAATAGTTTAACGTTTGATATTGAACACTTTTTCTTTAAATATAAAAGTATCTTCAATCATATTGACTGGAGAGTTATAAAAGTAATTGTGAACAGAAGATGTGTAAAAATGAGTTCAAATAAATTTTCCATAAAACTAATGTAGTTTTGATAGAATTTTTTCTTTTTAGTTGCTTGAATTGATTAATTATTTATCACATAGACAACATAATAACCAGCCCAATTAGAGAAAAAGAAATATATATTGAAAATGTATTAAAACCATCATAAACAGTTCAAAGAATACTTATAAATTTTTTTCTAAGTTTATTATAATTCTATTTTTTTTTTAAATTGAATAGCATATGACGTGTGGTTATTATGAAAATATATTTTTATTAAAATAATATTATAATGAAGTATTCGAAGAGTGATTATTATAAAAATGGAATACATTTTACATATTCAGATAATGTTTATTAGGATTATTGTTAGAAATAATTAATAAGAATGAATAATTATTTCAAAGCTTTATATAAATTTTTCTAACAATACTTGTTTTAACTACACGGATGATGATTAATTACTTTTTTTTATAAATTCGAACTTTCTGCGAGAGGTTATTTATAGGAAAACGTTATTCAACTATACCTAAATATAGCGACAATAGGAATTTAAAAAATATGATTTTTTGTAACAAAAAATGAATCCTAATTTTTATTGTAATTTTTTATTTATTTGTAGTGTTCGTAACGTTGTGACATTATTGTATAAAACATTTGAGAAAATATTGAGAAAATATTATATTTATGAATATATTTGACTTCAAGTTTTGGAAATTCGCATGTCGCAACTACAATTGATTAGAAAACTTTTCTGTTAATTATTACAAGAATAATATCATTTTACTAAATATAGAAAAAATTATGTTAATATATTTCCAAGTATAAAAAATTTTTTGATTCACAAAAAATAGCAATAATAAAATTAAGTTTACTGACAATTATGTATTTTACATTTATTTAATTTTTGTGTTTCTTAATTTCCAATAGACGATTTCGATATTGAGATTAGGTTTTAAAAAAGAATATTATATTTTAATTTAAAAAAATCCTATATACTGATATTGAAATCTTGCTATTTCTTTATGCACACCTAGGCACTGTAAATATTTTAATCAGTCTTTTATCGTAGTTTGAAGTAGAATTATGTTACTTTTATTATACTTAATTATATTAAAATTATTTTTTAATTCTTATATATTTATATTTAAAAATTTATTACCTTTGTAATTTAAATAAAATTAATTAAATACAATTTAGTAAGTTACATTTTAGTAGATATAGGTTTTCTAATATATTAATAATGTTTTTATAATAAATGCTTAAATTATATTGTTTTATAAATATGAATTCTTCAATTATAGATAATTTTTTGTTATAACTTTTAAGTATCTAATATCTAATATAGTATATAACTTTTAATATATTTATCCTATTATTTTATTATACTTATAATAGATTAATTATACATAATTTTGTTCAATATTTAATTGAAAATTGTT